ATATACATAAAATACACAAATATATATATATATTATAATTAAATATTTAATTATTATATAATATTATTAAATATTTAATTATTATATATTATTATTAATAATTAAATATATTTAATTATTAATATATTTAATTATATTATATTATTAAATATATTATATTATATTTTTATATTATATAATTAAATATAATATATATAATTAATAATAATATATTATATAATTAAATATAATTAAATATAATTAATTATATATATATAAAATTTATATATAAAATTATACATATATAAAATTCTATATTTCTATGTTTCGCTTTCGAAAAGTTTCTCCTTGCGACCGATAATCGATCAAAACACGCCCGATACAATAACAATAACGCGTCTCCTCTCGCTGACTTTGTATTCGGGAGGAAAGAGTGGGGAATCGATCGAGCGTAAATTCGACTCATTCGAGGTTAAGAGATACACGGATCCACATCGTGCGAGGTGCGAGGTGCGGATCGAAAGAATCGAAGGGAAAAGAGGTGGCCGAAGGGATGGAATGAAAGGACGCTCGTAACAAATGGTCGTTTCCTCGAGGGGAGGAGGGAGGGGAGCAGTGCCATGCTCCAACTCGTCTAACAAGGTGTCGGACGCCCCGGGACGCTCTCTTGCTTTCATCTCGGCCGACCGTGAATCGACTTTATCTTCATCTCGTGATGCCGTGGCTCACGCCGTGAATCCCCGAGTGAATCACGTACACGAATTGATATTACAACCGGATCCCGTCTTCTTTGTCGTCAGGTGTCCCTATCGCGGCCCAAGCTAAATTATTCCACGGACATAATCGACTGTCCTTACATCGGGGCCGGCCCATTATTCCCTGCCTTGATTTATCTCGTAGCCGGATTAACGCTAATGGTGTAACGCTGCTTTCCCCCGTGATGCAAATGCGCGATCGTCGTTTTCGCTTGGTTCCTATCGAAACGCATTAACGTCGTGAGCAATCGTCTCTTCTGTCCCTTCCTGCTTCGTTTTAATAAACGCGAGATGTTGATAATTAATTTTCGTTCGATTAATTTTATTCGACGAATAAAATTGGCAAGGCTTTTTTTGGGAAGGAGTTAGGGATGGAGGGGGGGGAGGGGAGTTAGGGGTTAATGACGCGGTTTTTGNTTTTTTTTAAGGAGTGGATTATCGTTAGTTTGGGTTTTTAATTTATTTTTTTTATTTTTTAGTCAAAATTGCGAGAAGTATCGTACTGGATTCGTTAATTTTTTATGTTCTCGTTTAAGTAGAATCTATTTAATTCAATTTGTCAATTAATTAATTCAATTTGAATAATCGAGAAGTTGAATTATTATGTTATTATAATACAATATACAATATACAAATATATTCATGAGATAATAATCTTAATTTTTAGATAATTATAAATTTATGATTATTGACCATTTTAGTATCCAAAAATTTTTCCTCTTTTAAATTTTTCTCTTTGTTTCGGTATTGTTTTTCGTTCCTGAAATAAGATTGTTTCGAATTACGTTTAACTTGGAACAAAATTTATTATCGAAGATATATTTCTTTTGAAAAAAAATCTCGCGATTTTTCAAATCTTTATTCTTCCATTCTTCGTTCTATTCTTCGTACATTTATTATATTTACATCGATCGCTCAACGTTGTAAATTTAAAGCAACACGTTTGTTTTTATTTTTAAACTCAATGGAGAAAAAAATACAGATGAAAAATCGTAATTTTCGCAACGAGTTTCATTGATATATTTAATATAACCATCGTTGGGTAACGAATATTGGCCGTTCTACGAAAACAAGGATCAATTCGCCGTTGTAATTTATGCGAGACCTGGGAATAACTTATGCACGAGGTGTTGCAAATAAAATTTGGCCCGATAATTTGATGAAGCCGTATTCATTACGAAATTCTAAATTAAACTAATTGTCGAGATAAAATCAAGTTGCAACAATTACAAAATATATTTAATATACCCGCGTATCGTGTCATCGTATATTTTTCTTTCGACTCGCGACAAAACAAATTGGATGATTCCAAACATAACTAGCGGAACAAATTAATTAATTTCATAATCATTGAAAATTTAAAATTACGTCAAAATTACGTCGTCGAAGGGTCACAATTTTTCGAAAAAAATTCCAACGCGAAAAAATTGATTGGAGGGGGTTGCTAAAATTAAAATTAAAAATCGATCGACGAGCAACAATACGCGGCCGATCATAAATTTCAAAGCAGCCCTAAACCATGGCCATATTCTCGGGCGCGGAGAGTTCCCTCGTCCATTGCGAGGCGGAATTGTCGGCGTAGCGAGTGGTCATCCGGGGCTTAAATAGTACAATAAAATTCGCAGTGCGGGCCGACGGGTAATAGCGAAGGAACGAGAACGAGGAGGGAAAGAAAGGAAAGGGTAAAAGCACGCTTTCTTGCCGCCGTTTATTTTAATTTCGTGTACGCGGTACAGCCGCCCGTTCCTTTGTTCTGTCCGACCGTGCCGCTTTTATTTCTCCTCTTCCTCATAGCTCTTTCTTTTCATCCTTTTTACACTCTGCCCTCGCCAACACCCGACGAGAGAGAGAGAGAGAGAAAGAGAGAGAGAGAGAGAGAGAGAGTGTTATACAGTTGTTCCTCCTAACGGCAGATGTTATTTTAGGATCTCGTATCGGACCCCGTACGTTCTCCAATGGGCAATTATTCATCGGTCAATTTGGTTCAATTCGCGGCGATTCCGGGATCTCGCCAAAGTGATTGTCACGGATCTTAATTCGATATGCAGGTTGGTATTTGTATTTATCGTTTCGTGGTACACTCCTCGAAAATTCTTACTTTTCTTCTCGAAAAGTGTAAATCCAATCCAAATGAAAATTATCATTGAACAGAATTTTCCAGAATTCTTTCAACAAAAGTTGAATTTCACTCTTCCTGTCAATTAGATTGTATATCTACCGTGCAATTGTGACTATTTTAAATTTTCGAAAAACCACTTTTCGAAAAAAAAAAGAGAGGTATATAAATTTTCCATCTCGCTTCGTTCAACAATATCTGATCAATTAACAAATAAAATCTTCTTCGAACGAAGAAAAAAATCTTCCCCCCATCTCTCCCTCTCGTTATCGATCTCCCTTCGGTGCAACGACACCTTCCACCTTCGATCCATCATTCCAACCCCCTCGATCAATCATCATCCACACCAAAAATTCCCTCTCCCCTCCCCGTGAAAAACTCTCCTCCCGTGTTCTTCTTCTCTTCGTCGAGCACCCACTAACCCCCCCCCCTCCCCTCTTCTCCCCCCCCCCATCCTTCTCCTCCGACATGCATTCTCCTCCTCTCCTCGAATGCAGTGGCCGACCGTAATTGCGAGAGCGAGAAGTTCGAGGGAGGGGAGAGGGGGAGGGAGGAACGGGGGCCGACAAAACGGTCGTAATTAAAGAGCGCGGCCGCGAAATCTTTCCACGTCAAAGGAACGATATTTATACGGTGCTTCCAGCATCCGTGAAAACCCGCTCGTTTCATTGTTGGCGGGTGCTCGGGAATCGCGATTGCCGAGTGGAGAATCCGCCATGAGAAATGCGACCTCGAGGAGAGGGATGCTCGGGCCACTCGACGTGCGGGGATGAAAGGGTGGAAGGGGGAAAGGGTAGGGGAGGGGGAGGGAGGGAGGGAAAGGTGTTGTGGAGCGGGGCATAAAAGCTACCGTGGTGGTGCCCGAGACGGAGTATAACGTTTAACATTTAAGCCTTTAGAAGGTTGTAAGGTTGGCTCCCTGTAATTATCGCCGAGGCGCGGCGCCTTGAGGTCTTCATTATGGCGAGCATCCTTGTTATTTCTCTCTGTACCGAGCCTCCAGTCGGGTCTGGTTTTCTCCTCTGGTTGTGCGTACGCGCGACGAGAGGGGGAGAGGGGCCGGTTGGAGGGAAAAAAGGGTTTTGGTTGGGCGTCGTAAAGCATGGGGGGAAAAAGAGAAGAAGAAGAAGGAAAGGGGAAGGCGAAGGCTTCAGGTTGTTGCGACTCTCCGCGGTTCTTTTTACGCAGTTCTTTGGACGGAGTAACTCTTGGTCGGAGTGTCGCTTGAAGAGATTGAAGGGGGAGAGAGAGAAAGAGAGAGAGAGAGAGAGAGAGAGAGAGATTTTCGTGGAGAAGGGGAGTTCGAGATGAGCGTTGTTTACAAAGATTTGTTGATTAGACAATTCGTTCTTTTGAATTGCAAATTGGTTTTCGAGTTGAAAATCGGAAAGTATATAATTTATATTAATAATTTAAATTTGAAGCAGAGGAATAGATGGGGAATCGTTCAAATAATTCAATTAATCGAGACGTATAGATGTATTTGAAGATTTGAAGAATTGTGAAATAAAAGTTATGAGTGATTATTATTTATTTTTTTTTTTCTAGGGATGGATTTATGCTATTTCTTCCAAGAGAGATAAGATGTATGTGACACGTACGAAGGTTGGGTAAATTTATGCAAGAATTTGCGTCCTCTTATAATACGTAAGACGTAGAATAGAGGATGTAAATTAGATCAGCCTACTCGCCTGGAGAGTTACATTGTAATTGCAAGTTAAACGTGCACGTATAATAAATCTTTACGTCGATTCAATTGTTTCCTGTTCCAGGCTTGAAATTTGTGATATTTACATTGCTACAACGAAGTTGAATCGTAACTACGATAACTTGGTATTCCATTGTTGTAACGTAATTGATGCATTAATGTGGATGGTGCACGTGTTAATGTAACGTTAAATTATTACTAATTGATAAAATTATTTATTAAACGAATATTAATGATGGTCTACAACACATTCAATATTATTATTAATCATCGGTGATTGGAATAATAATTTCTCTTCACATTTTAGATTCACCTGTCTACTTACTCAAGAACGTACAACTTCACTTTTTCATAACTTTATTTCGTTTCTTATTATCGCAGCAGGCAAATCGTTATTCATTACACATTAAAATAATTTCTCGTATTCCTATTATATAAATACCTCAGGTATTTATTTAGAACCGTAACTTCACTTTCGATACCTTTCAATATCTTACTTGAAACTCAGAAATATAGAATTTCACTTTTCCATAATTTTCGTATCATAATTTCTCTTCCCATTTAAAAATAGAATTTATTTTTTCTCAATCTCTCTTCTCAACAAACTACAACTTCACTTCCAATACTTCTCGATATTACTTCATTTCCAATTATATATACCCTCTACACTTTACATCTTACATTTCCATCGTACACAATAAAAAGAAAAAATAAAAAATATCAATCACAGACACAGAATTTCCCTTGCCACGAAAACGAAACTCCCTCGACCGAAATTGATCTCTTCCACGCCGTCTTTCCCATCCACGGGACTGAGTCGAATCGTGGAACCAACACGTTTTCGCGTGGAGGAAAATCATGTCCCGGCATGCGGCAGGAATTCGTACGGGCCGCCATATTTCAGTTAAAGCGCGCGGGGGTGGCGTTCAATGCCTCCGCTCCGCGTTGCCATGGCAATTAATTACCTTCATCCCTTCCCGTGGCATAGGTACGCCTATAACGGGTGTACTGATCGCGTTCGAAAGATATCCGTCTCGAGAGGGAGGGACGGGGGAGAGCAAATACGTTAATTACCAGGCGGGCCAGTCTCCGTGCAAATTACTAATGAGATTTTCGCCCACCGTAAGAAATCTCCTTTCGTAATTTCGAGCGCGACTAGGAAGCCGTCAAAGGCTGTCGCCGTTAATTTTGGGGAAACGATTCGGTTAACAGGCCTCGCTCGATTATCTCTTTCTTCACGCGGGGGTGGAAATACATTTTCGAGGCGAGGTTCACCAGGATTTCAGGGGTTGTCGAATGATGGTCGCTTTACTTTTAATTGTTAATGTTAATTTTTGATCGAGGCTGGAAGGGGAGGGGGAGGGTTAAACGTTTTTCGAAAGATGGAATATTGATTTGAGTTTCGATTCTTCGAGGATATTGTGTCGTCGAGGGTTTGGTGATTTTGGAATATATTAATATCGAGTTATATTAAATTTTTAACAAATTGAAGCAATTTAGAGTAAGTATATTCGAAGATTCAATAATGATGTTCTTGTTTGTTGAATTTTTCTCTTTTTTTTTCACAGACAACAGTGGAACACCTGGTGAAGGGGAGGGGGAGGGTTAAACGTTTTTCGAAAGATGGAATATTGATTTGAGTTTCGATTCTTCGAGGATATTGTGTCGTCGAGGGTTTGGTGATTTTGGAATATATTAATATCGAGTTATATTAAATTTTTAACAAATTGAAGCAATTTAGAGTAAGTAATATTCGAAGATTCAATAATGATGTTCTCGTTTCTTGAATTTTTCTCTTTTTTTTTTTTCAGTGGAACACCCGGTGAACGTAACAATCGCAACTTTTCCCCAGCCGGCAGCCACTAGAGATAATAGTGTAACTGATAGTTGTGGCTAACTAGAACCCACCCTCTCGACTTTCCTCTTACCATTTTCGGGGGTTGTCCCCTCTCCTCGACTAATTTTCGGTCTCCCAGAGCTATCATTATCGGCCGAAGAAATCGCCCTCCCTATTCGTCTCCGTGTCTTCTTCCGTCTACCCTTGATTCCTCGTTCGAAATTGACGAAACGTCGCGCTGAATCTAAATTTTATATCCGAGGAAAGAAATCTACGTCTTCTTGTAAATTTGTTCAAGTTCTCAACGCTCGAAAGAAAATTAAAAAATTACCTTTCTTGCGCGTCAAATCAAAGAAAAAAAAAAAAAAAAAAAAGAAAGAAAGAAAGTCAAGTTATAACGATTAAACAAATCCATCGTGAAAAAGACACGCGTCTTACCCTTTCGCACAAATTGTCTAACGCGCACCGCACATTTCCACACGCGACCATTACGTTATAATTATTCCATCCACCCGTGTCTTCGCTAAATAGATTTAAGAGATACAAACAGTCGGCCGCAAACGCTTTATGAATAGCTTCATCAAGGGACTCCAAGGAAATAAATAGACGATCATCTACAGCAGATGGCTTTATCGCTCAGCGGGGTATCCGTCAACCGTATAAATCAGATATTCATTTTAAAAAAAAAATCACACCTCGTCCTTGTTCACGCTCATTCCCTTCTCCTCGAAACGTGGACTCACCACCGTCTGATCTCTCTCTCTCTCTCTCTCTCTCTCTCTCTCTCTCTCTCTCTCTCTCTCTTTCTTTGTACGCCTCATTTCAGAAGGAAGAACAAGTGGATTTTCTGGGATGGAAACCAGGACCGATCGACGACGAGCCCCTCCAGTTCCATCGCCATCCTCCACTTTGAAGAGAATGTACCTGCACGACGCCTGTTCCATCAAGCCTCCACGGCGTCTCAATAATCATCGCGGTCTTTCACGTCATCGCGAGCAAGCGTAAAATCGTAATCCAATTTGTCTGGAGTGGCCGCAACAGGGCGACGAGGCCGAGCGAATGAAGTCATCGCGGCTTCGCCAGGGCTTGGCCGTTTAATCATCATAAATTTCGCGGGGAAACCGCGAACCGTCCCCTTTCTTACGGGTCCACTTTGTTCCTGGACCCGTGAGACCGCTTCCAACGCTCACCACCACGGCCCCATCCTGGCCATCGAGGTTTCACTTTGGTCGCACTTCGACATTCTTCCGCTTCGTGCGTCTCGAAAGCTTCGCGATGCTGAGAAGTGGTGGAGGATCTTTGGAGTATTCCTTTCTTTTTGTTACGTGAGTATCTTTATAATTATTTTACACGATGATTATTTTTTTTTTTTTTTTTTTGGAAGATAGAGTGATTCCTATTTTTAAAGGATAAGAGTTATGTTATGTGCATAAGATAGTTTACGTTCGTTTTTTCCTTTTCATCGTTATTACTGCTTAATTTCTATCTCGTAACTGTTATTTTATTATATTATTTCCTCCAGTTTAAACGAAATTAATTAACATTTCTTTAAAAATCATCCTTGCGAAAGAATGTTAATAGAAAACCATTATATAAACTCGCTCGTCTCAGAATCAAGAAATATTCCGGCTTATTACCATTCATCTTGTATCCCTCCATTATCGATGAATCTTCAAGCTGCTTCCTTACGAACTACTTTTTTGCGTTATTAGAGAAAAGTAGGTAATCCTAATTGCCGTTCATTCCCCGTTCGGGTCCCTAGTAAATTCCATCCACTAAGGATGCTGCTATTAAATAAGTAAATGCTCACCTGTCGCTCGAATCAAATAGCTGATTAATAGACTGGTTGCCGTGGAATAAAAAGAATAAAGAAAAAGAGAAAAGAAAAAGAAAAGAAAACGAGCGAAAATTCTGCTAGGAAGCGCGCGAGACAGAGAGAGAGAGAGAGAGAGAGAGAAAGAGAGAGAGAAAAGAGTGTCTTCGCCGCTATAAAACACACTCGCGGGAATAAACCAACAATAATTAATGAGCGTAATTTATAGAAGTATAATTAGAAGAATGATTTATAGAAACTCTAATTTGCTGCGGGCAGTCGGCGGTAATTTGTACACCGGGAAACATGTAGAGCCGGTTTGAATGTTTAAAAAAGGAACCGTGGCTCGAACCACGAGGCAAAAATAGATGTTCCACTTATTTCGCGTGTTCGCCACCGTTTCTTTAAGCCCGATGCTCCGCCGATACAACAGGTTACGACTCTATCGCTCGTACGTGGTAATTATTGCTGTCTATCCGTCGAACGTACTTTCTTCTTCTTCTTCTTCTTATTTTTTTTTCTTTTTCTACGATTATAGAAAAAACTGTGATGGCATGGAAGGTTTGGAACAAGATACCCATGGATAGTTTTGACACGAGTGCTTATTAAGGTAATACATTGTACGTTGCACGCGACTCTTCTTCGAGATTTCGACTAGCGTGAAAACCGTATGAAAGATTCGAAAATGATAGGTTGATCGCGAGGTAGTTAATATTATTGAGTCGTTCTGAATACGTAATGATGTGAAAATACCTTTTTGAAATTTTCTTTGTGTTTTACTGGTTCACTGAATTTAATTCTACTATGCTTTAGCTATTTCAATGGATAATTTTATCTAGTTTAGGGAGGATTTCCAACGTTTGTTTTAAAAAGAAAATATTTGTAAAGTAAAATTTAAATAGAATTCTTTCTTCGTATTTTCCAAAAGAAGAGAAGGGGTGAGAAAGGGATGCAAAGCATTGAGTCATTTTTGGAAAATTTTTTTCTACATCATCTTCTAATTTAGGGATGATTTTCAATGCTTGTTTTAAGAGAAAATATTTGTAAAGTAAAATTTAAATAGAATTCTTTAAATAGAATTTTATTTTAATAGAATTTTTTAAATAGAATTTTTCTTTAAATAGAATTCTTAGAATTCTTTTTTCGTATTTTCCAAAAGAAGAGAAGAGATGAGAAAGGGATGCAAAGCATTGAATCATTCTTGGAAAATTTTTTTCTACATCATTTTCTAGTTTAGGGATGATTTTCAATGCTTGTTTTAAGAGAAAATATTTGTAAAGTAAAATTTAAATAGAATTCTTAGAATTCTTTCTTTGTATTTTCCAAAGGAAGAGAAGGGGTAAAAAAAGGATGCAAAGCATTGAATCATTTTTGGAAAATTTTTTTCTACATCATGTTCATATTTAGTATTTTCATACGTTTCAATTCTACCCTATTTATTTATCACAATATTTCCATTGCAATTTAACGTTAAAAAAATTCCAAAAATTTGATCACAGTATTCCATATTTGTTTCAGCAATACCAGAAGCGTTGAACAACACCTCGAATCAGGTTTTTCAATTTTTACCATCGTCCAGATACACGTAATAAGTTATTTCTTCGTATTAAGGCATAAATTTCAACGCTATACGAGTCGATGAATTCTCGGACGGTGGTTACTCGTAGAAAATACAATCTATAGATAATAATTGAACGAGCTCGAGCATCGACGTAATTAATAAACTAGCTGGCTTATCATTAGTTAACAGAACGTCGAACGAAATTACTAGGATGAACTTTCGAAGTTGTGTTTCGCGCCAAATATAATCGCCCGCAACATCTTTTTATACTTTCTTTTTTTCTTTTTTTTTTGTTCCATGGACGATGTTAATAACACGTTCGTTATATACCGTGGTTAATTACGAGGATTCCGTGTAATTACACCTTGGAATAACTCGACTATCGGTCAATTTACGACGCGCTCAAGACTCACTTGCCAAGATGAGAATTAATTGTTTTATTCGATCGTTCGTGTCGAATCTGTTAATTGCTTCGAATGTTACGAATAGTATATCCAATAAATAACGTTTCGTTAGAATATTAGATCCAAATATTTTTGCTCTCCGTAAAAAAGTAAAATCCGTATAATATATAATATAATATAATATAATATATAATATATAATAAAATCCGTAAAAAGTGAAACAGATGGACGTAAAAGAGAATTCATTTCGTTAAAATATTAATATCTTCCAAAAAAGTTCTCGCAAAAAATATCTTGATCGAAGAAACACCTTCTTCTTGGAGTACTAAAAAATTCACCAGTTAACAGCAGAAGAATAAAATTAATAAATACGTGCAACAATATCTGTTCTTCGTACATCAAGAAACAAATATAAAAAAAAAAAAACAAAAGATACGTAGTTATTAACATAACGGATGCAAATAATAATCACTCGCATTCGCTCGAATAAGAAATATAATATAATCCTGGCATATCTTCAATACCAATTTCCTGTAAACGCTTAAATATATGTACACCTCTCGGGCAGAGAAGATTTAATACCTTCCAATCTTGCTATCTAATTGCCACTCAAAATGTAAAAATTAATAATACATCCTATACTTTTTAGCCCAAAGGATTATCTAGAACAATAATGAGAAACAATAATTTTCATACGGTAAAAATTCTAGGCCTTCTAAACTTGGAACAGATATTAGAATAAAAGGATGTTGCATGTCGGAATAATCGTGGTCGCACGCGAGCGTGACGATTCTCTAAAGGGATCCAAAGATTTAGAGAGAGAGACTAGCCATCGAGAATGTAAATCAAGGGGGATGAAGCTCGATTAAATATCAACAACATTGTCGAAAGAATGTTGTCTTGTTTATTCGAGGGATGGGTGTACGAGTGAGGTAAATGTGACACGCGGAACGAGCAGGTAGCAAGAACAACCACTAAAAGTCTTACTTTATTCCACGTGCTCGGGTAAGTAAAGATAATTCCTGAAGCTGATTGGATCATCACTTATCCGCGGTTGCTCGCGCGGAATCGAGTTCTTGGTAAAAAGAAGATCACACGTTAAATGGATAGGAATCTGTAATAAATGAGAGGAAAGCTTTTGGTCCATGGTATGGTAATCGATGAAATGTGAAATGTTTTTATAGAAGGAATGTATATTTTCGATTTGTAAATTAATTTTTAACGCGAGAAATCGTTCATCTTTGTCCTTATTATTGGAAAAAGAAAATTAAAACGTGATTTTCGTTAGATTTTCAGTCGAGAACGTTAACTTTCGACGAGAAATTCTGATTAAACGCGATACGTTTCTCTTTTTGAAAATACGTTTCATTCTCGGTTTTCACAAAGATTCTGGAAACTTTACTATTCCCAACTATGCAAACACAATTCTCCAAAGTTATTTACGATGCCATAATTCAATCTTGTGCTCTGAATTTCACTCAACATCGATCAATCCTACTTTCAAAGCATCGGGCGGAAAGTATAAAAAACAAAAAATTTTCACCTAGAGTCAGAAACACGCGAATCTTATTTTCCATAAATTCTTTTTTTTCTAAAAAAATTTCAATTGCAATTTTATTTAAATATACATTACTTTCTTCTCTATTCCAAGTATAAAAGAAAAAAAGCAGCCATACCCAACTCACCACTTTCATCAATTTATAAATTCTCAACCAATTCGAAGCAATCCCAAGCCCATTGATCAGCCGAAACAACTGTCTTAACGAGAAGGCAACATCCATAATCCGGAAAGAAACAAATTTCCTGCTCGATCGTCCACCATAGCTGAAGTGGCGCGCAGTGGCGTAACGCCGGTGGCCGGTCACCCCGTGACGTGGTGGATCGCCTCGGCCGTAAATTTCTCCGCCTCTTGACGCGCGAACGTTGGATCGTTTCTCGAAAGTTTTCCGCGGACGTTGGAGGGGCGGGGGATGAACGCCGCTTCGTATCAATCTAAATTACAAATTCCATCGAACAATAGGGCTGGGGGGAGGGAGGAGGGAGGGCGTTAATACTTAGCTCGGTTGGAGGGAGAGATCTCGCTGGCCGAGCGTTGGAACGCATTAACTTAATTTATTTGTCCTTTATTTGGCTGTCAGCCACGCCGCCAGACGTCCGCCAGTGGCGTAGACGCTAGGCGTGTACGCATTTCTTAGGAGTGGCCCGGCATTATGCACGTCCGCGAATATATATTGCGATTCGAAATGACCTCTGCCGGCTGAATTATGATTCGAACACGATGGAGGGTTGAATTAATTAGGATAGGCTAGTTTTATGGTTCTTGGATATAGAGGATGTAGCGGATAGGTAATCTAGGGAGTTTTTTATTTGAGAAGATTTGTGGAGAAAGTATTATATAGAAGTTATTTTGCGATCGTCTATTTTGTGATCAAGAACGTTATTAATATTTGGTTAAATGTATCTGTATTTTGATTAGGAAATATCTATCTTTTTTGATGTGATAGTTTACAGATTGAACGATAATTATTATTATTTGATTATAGTTATTTTAGGTGGTGTTAATACATAAATTTCATTTTTCAAAATTTCGCTACATATCCATTCCATTTACGAATCTTTCATTTAATCTTTCATAGAGCTCGTTTACTTTTAATAGAAAGATCGGGAAATTCATTCAATGCACTTTTCTAACACTTTTTTCACACATTCCTTTTCGTTATCCCGCCAATCAAATATCCAATCTCGCTAATGCATCCTGCACCACCACCCACCATCGCTATTTTAATCAGAATCAACGAAAAACCGGTAGCGACGAGGGTGATAAGCGATTGCGGAGGGGGAGGGTGGCCTAATTTCTTGGTTGCTCGACGTCTGAACGAGCTTTTCGGAGGGATGAATAAGCGAAAACCCCCGGCAATTCCGCCGCCATAAAAGTCAAGTTCATTCCGGGGCGATAATGCTTGTAATCCAAATATAATTCTTGTCAGAGGGGTGAAACCCGACGAGTTACCGCTCTCTCCACGGGGGTGGCTGTTCAAATCATCCCGTGAATGTATCCGTGGCTACCACCATTTCGTCGATGCCGGTGGCCTTTGTGCACCAACCCCCTATGAAAATCACGGAACCTAACCCCTGCTTACGACCGCAAACACACAACCCCCGAAGGGAAGTTAACGTTGTCGAACCTCTCGTCGATTATTATAGGATACCTCTTCATTCTCTCGAAATTCCTTCCTTCCTTCGAGCAACGTTCGTCTTTGTATAAATTGTGTGTTTGGATTGCCGCGGCTAGGGAAATAAAATATGTGATTTCCTTTAACTTATGTCCAGTTGTGGAAGAATTGTTCTTGGCAAAAGAAACAAAGATGGTAGGAAAAATGAAAATATTGTTATACTTTCTTATAATTAATTATCCACTGTATTGTAACATATTTAATATTAATTCAGTGGATATTAAACTTAAAAAAGAATCTACACGTGAATAATATAAGTAATACGTAAATAAATAATTCCAATATTTTTATTATGTCCAAAATTTAAATTTACTTAACTCGAAATATTTACTATTTGTATATATATACACGGAGCTCATTAACGGAATCTCTTTACCTGGTTCGAAAAAAAATCTTCTTATACACACTTGGGATCAAAGATTCATTAAGTATTCGACGGGGAAGAGGGATTTTCGAAATATCTCGGCATGTCTGAAATTCATGGAAATTCTGGTAGAATAATTAGAATACGAGGAAAGTTCAGTACAAATTCCGAATCCTTATGATAATTTTCTAAGTTCATGGGAATATTGTAGAAGGGGAGGGAAGGGGAGGTGGAGGAGGAGGAGGAGGGAAGAGGACGGATGGTAGAATTCTCTGGTAGATTTTACGAGATTGTCGAATGCCTGGCGTACTTTGAATTATGCATAAAATTCACCCTCTCCCCCCTCTCCCCCCCCTCCCCTTCGGCAGGAACGAAGCGTTATATTTAACATCGAATCCCAGCTCCTTCTAATTAACGTACGTTTCGTCTATAATTTTGTAATTAAGCAATCCGAAGTAGATTAACAGATATATATCCGCGTAAAACTAACCCGGTTAATACGGCAGACGTACCATTAATCATTTTCCATCCTTGCACAATATCTTATGACCTCGCTTCTAATCTCGCTTTCTGCATTTAATTCGAGCTACCCTATTTATCTCGAATCCGATATTTCCATCATTTGCATTCATTAACATATTCGTCTACATTCACATCCCGGATCGAAAATAATTAACAAACTTCAATTATCAAACCCTATTTCCTATGGAGTGTTCTACGATCGAGTTTCTTCGTTAACTTCGATATGCTACGAGAAAATATAATTGCTTGGCTTCTTACGAGGCTAATGGATTCGTCGGAGGAATGGATATTCTTCGTTCAAAATTTCAGGGGAACGAAACATTATAAACCAACCGTTTCCAAAATCTGGAATTTCCAACATGCACGAAAGGATCCCTAAGATAAGTTTTCTCGTTCTTTTTTTATTCTTTTCGAGAAAAGAATCTAAACATCATCGTTTCTCTTCACCAAAGAACTCTAAACTCGTCATCCATCACCAAAGAAAAGAAACGTGTATCGAATAAAAAAAATCATCGCAACATTTCACAAAGGAAAAAAAAAAGAGGGATCAACGCCTGCGTGTGTACGAAAGAGGAAAGAAAGAAAGGAAGAAAGAAAGATATTGTATTCCATTTCAGGGCCTTTCCTTCATCCACGCGCACGTGACTTCGTCAACGTTTTGACAGCGTTTAACATCCCGGTCCATTCACTCTGTTCGGCATCTTCCCGTTTAAAAGGGATGATAGATGCTTGGCACGCGACCGACACGCCCACGACTCCTCCAGGGTTGCGTTGGATATTTAGAACAATTTATCCATTGAACGGCCGGGGTGGCCGTTAGCGCCGGCATCCCGGCGATATCAAACAATTCATATATCTCCTGGTCGACGTCCTGAAATAATAGGGAAATGAATTCGCGCGAAAGATGGAAATCGGCCGGTCGATCGTTCCTTGGGAGAGAATAGAAAGAGAAGAGGGGGGAGCTCGGTTTGGGATCATCAGTCATTAGGGGTGTTGGGAGGGATGAGCTCGTCGTGAAATGGATTTACGTGGAAAATCTTTCCTGTTTTTAATACAAGTTTTAATAACGTATCGTTATCGATTCTACGAGAAGAATGTAATAAGAAATTTTTTCTCGTGAAAAATCATCACTGTCGGTTTAGTTTGATTTTAGTTTGATAAATATATATAGCTTTTGCTCTTTGCGTTACGAAATACGGTTGGACGACTTAAACGGACGGCTTGTTGATTGGATCGGTTTTTGCGCGTACTTCCGTTTTTATGGAAGTTTTGTTAGAGGACCGTTAGAAGCGTTGAAAGCTAGTGAAACGTAATTTACCTAAGCGCGAGGATACATTCGCGTAGGGAAATGGAGAAGGTTTGAAAGATCGGCTCGGTTAACGATTTCACTGATTTGTTTTGACATTTCTTTTTTTTTTTCTTTTTTCAGCGAGACGCTTAACGACACTTAAAAAGGAGAGAGGGACGTTTCAGAAGAGAAATGAAGATGAAAGGTGAGCTTGATTATCAGTCGAATTATTTCGAGGAGAGTCAAGCACGAGATTGTTCAATCGATTTTTAATTTTAGTTTGTTTCTATTTCGACGAATCTTTTGGAAAAAGACTACTCATTTCACGACCCTCACCCGAATTTTAAACTTCTTTAATTCTCTTCTGTATTAAAATACGACAAAAAGTTAAAAAACATACACTCGAAATAAATTCCGATGAAGAATGATTATTCACGCCGTGCTACGATGCTCGTCTCTTCCTTTCTCCGCGTGAATTTTAAACTTGTCAATTTCTTTTTCCAAAAAAAAAAAAAAAAAAAAAAAAGGAAAATGAACAAGAAAAGGATGGCGCCGCAGGCAATTTGCAGGTTCCGCCTATTACAAAAGAAAATATAATTACGTTGGCGAATTTCTCATTTCCCCCGTTTATTATTCACTCCGCCGCTTATCTGGAATATATATATATATATATATATATAGAGAGAAAGAGAGAGAGAGATACACGCAATTCCAGGCGGGAGAAAGCCGCGCGGCACCTCGCGGAACGTTCCATTTCTGCCAAACAAATTGCCCTCCCACGCGGAGAGCCGGACAAAGGGGCCCGGCCCCGGCCCCTGCCCTCTCTGCATTACAACCTCATTCAAGAATCGCGGCGGCAAGATACAGCCTGGACATCCATTAGCGGTTGAACACGGTGGCTCGTGTAGAAGAGAGGCGAACGTGCAGCTCCCACCAATCCCAGAGCAAATAAATTCCGCGAGGCTTTGCGCTACCTCGAGCGGACGTTAAACCAATATTCTCCAGGAAATTCGTGGACCGTTTCAATTCGTTTCGGATCCGAACGGTTTATACGTCGTTCACCAGAGGGAAACTCGAAGAGAACATCGAGAAAGGAGAAAGAAAAGGTTATACGTTTTTATTAGTTCTTTTTTTATTAGCAGAGTTTAATTCTTTTTTTTTTCTAAAGTTTGTATAAATGTATAATTTTATAAAAATGTATTTTTATCATTCGATAAAGATAAGAATAGCGGGATCCGAAATGAGAAATCTGCTTGTTCTGAGAAACGGTGAGAATCGAAGAGGGTTGGTCAAACTATAAATAAATTCGCGAGATTGCGCAAACACCCGGGGCGGGAATTTTTTAATCGCGGCGCATGAAACCGTCGTCTGCCAGAGGCCAGTCGGCTGTGAGACACTGCACTCTTGGGATCAACCCCCTGCACTGGCCCGGAGCGGTTGTCATTTTAAATCACTGCCACAACCGTGGCGAACAACCCTGATTTTCGAGGCTCGGCCAACCCTTGGTCAAGCCTCGAAAATGCCGGAATTAAATTCCCTCCTGGCTTGTCCCGCGAAAAGTGGGCTTTTTGCTGTGGAAAAAGGGACACATTTCACCGAAATGCTCCGCAAACGTGTGATTCCTTTTTTTCTTTCTTTCTTTCTTTCTTTCTTTCTTTCCTCTCCTTCTCCCGTGTTTTCGAGGCTTATAAATCGTGAAAGATGGATACATATGGCGTTACGTAATACGAAATGGCCCTTTAATCAAGAGAATCGGTTTTTTTAATGGGAGGTTAATGGGAAGGTTAATGCAAGATTCGTCTTTATTTGGAAGGATTTATTTTTTATTCTCAATGTTATTTAAAATTATTATCGATTTATGATTTTTGACGGTAAAATATACTCGAATTTACACGTCCTTTCTATTTTATAATCTATGATATAGATAAATTGTCGTAAATTTTGAAGAAAGCGCTCAACAAGCAATTGTCGAATTGTTTTAATTTAAACTTGAACGTCGAGTTATACTTTTATTCTCGTTAGTATTAATAAGTCGTTCAACCGAGAAATTTCCTTATCTTAATATCCTTTAGAAGGAATAGCAACAACGTAGACACAGCATAAACAACAACGTAGATACGACACCACATCCTCTTTTTTACCTTTATCGTAAACTTCATCTTCACCCCTTTTAACCACGAAGCTAAGTCGTTTATGAATGTTCATAAGTATCCATCCGAAAAACAAAAAAAAGAAAAAAGAAAAAAGAAGAAAAAGAATAAGAAGAAGAAGAAGAAGAAAGAAAAAAACCGAGCAATTTTCCTCTCTATGTAACCCGACTTGCACCGAAAAGGGAAGCCGGCACTTTGCCCAATACCATCGATGAATATTTACATCTGAAAAAACCGTTAAAGAACACGAGCTTTTCCCCCCCATGCAATATTTATCACGAAGTAAACGCATGCAACTCATGCATAGTCCGTCTCTCGTAAACCGGCTCTTGTAAACTCTGGTAAACATCTACCGGAACACATCCGCCTCTCTCTCTCTCTCTCCCTCTCTCTCTCTCTCTTTTATTTATTTTTTTCCTTCCTTTTCTTTTATTATCCTCTTCCTCTCGCTTTACCAAACCGTCCTAACCATTATCCCGAACGATGACTTTGAACAGGACTCTGAAAAGGAAGAAGAAAAAAAGTACTACGCTATCGACCATCTCCTTCTTCTCGAGCATTCCCTCGAGAAGAAGACGCTCGCCGCTTTTGATTTTTCTTCCAGTTAACCGAGCCACAGTTGTTAATTAACAAGCACGCCGTTGACTACCGGGCTTAATACAATAATAAGGCGAAGGTAGGAAGGCGCGAATAAATTAGCAGAGGGGTAGGAGAGGAGGGAGGAGGATGGAGGAGGAGGAGGAGGAGGAGGAGGGTGGGTCGTGTATAGCTCCCACGTGCGTTGTATTTACGTGGCGCGGATGCGCGCCGGGGACGAGCGCTAATTACGAGGATGAATGAGCCGCGAATGGATGTCGTTCATCTTACTGAAAACGCGCAGCTTCCTCTTCCGGTGCGCCGCACCCGTATCCCACCCCGCAGCCCCACGACTTAAGCCCAATTTGCATCTGTCGGCCGAGTCGCGGATGCAATTAGATCGGAATTATCGCCGACCGTTTGTCCGCGGATAATTGCAGTTAATCGCGAATGCTTCGCCACGAAACGGGGATACGAAACCATTCCCTCGAAATTTCGCGAGGATTTCCCGCCCTTTCAGATTTTTGGAACATTTCTGGATCCTGTGAACGTTATTTCGCAAGGATTTTCCGCTCTTTTAGATTTTTGGAATATTTCTGGATTCTCAATTATTTTGTAAGGATTTCTTGTTCTTTCAGATTTTTATAAGAATATCTTTGGATTCTATGAACGTTATTTGAAATTTGAAAGGATTTTTCACTCTTTTAGATTTTTGGAATATTTCTGGATCCTGTGAACGTTATTTCGCAAGGATTTTCCGATCTCTTTTAGATTTTTGGAATATTTCTGGATCCTCAATGTTATTTTGCAAGGATTTCCTGTTCTTTCAGATTTTTATAAGAATATTTTTGGATTCTATGAACGTTATTTGAAATTTCGCAAGGATTTTTCGCTTTTTTAGATTTTTGGAACATTTCTGGATCCTGTGAACGTTATTTCGCAAACATTTTCCGCTCTTTTAGATTTTTGGAATATTTCTGGAACGTTGTTTCACAAGGATTTCCTGTTCTTTCAGATTTTTATAAGAATATTTTTGGATCCTGTAAATATTCGAAATTTTGCAAGGATTTCTCGCCCTTTCAGATTTTTGGAACATTTCTGAAATGTTATTTCACAAGGATTTCCCGTTCTTTCAGATTTTTTGGAATATTTTTTGATTGTGAACATTATTTAAAATTTCGCAAGGATTTCCTTTCAGATTTTTGGAACATTTCTGAATCCTGTAAACGTTATTCGAAATTGGAATTGGAGATTTTGAATGGAATCTTGCGATACAAATTTGAAATTAATGATCTCGATATCGCTTGCTCGATATATTGCTTAATAAAAAAAAAAAAAAAAACTGTCAACAAGAAAATCACAGCCTTCCATATTACAAAATAGTTAAATCCATTCAGTCAAATGGGAATTGGAATCGCGCCACGTTCTTAACCCCGCACAAGAAAAGTCACATCCTCCCCTCCCCTCCCATCCACGTGATGTAACAATTAAATCCACCGAATCTGAATCATCGAAATCATTGAATGAGCGAAGCTGCTCAATGAGAGCGAGAGAGAGAGAGAGAGATAGAAGTGAAAAGGGAGAGGGAGAGGGAGAGAGGGAGAGACGATGACCCATTGAACGCGGCGGCTCAATCAATGGCCCGTCTTGATAGAAGATTTACGAATGCTATTTCCGTTTTATCAACTCGGTTTAGACATCGGCCGAGGCTTGGAAACGTATCTGCCGGCCAATTAACGGATTCGTTGCTCCATCGTCATTATCACGCGGCATAATTAATATCCCATACGGAGCGGAACGGGGAGGGGGATTGAAAGAAACGATGGGGGAGAGTGTAGGAGGGGAGTAAGGAGGGGGAGGGAGAGGGCGAGGAAGATGGAGCGAGGGAGGAGCGCGCAGCTGGTCTCGATCGTGGCAGACTCTAAGACGCCGCTATCAAAGGAAGTGAGGTCGACCTCGAAGATGGTTAATGGTCGGCCGGGCGTGGGACAGGCTTTCCACGATCTTGGATCACGGTCACACGGAGAAAATAACGTTTTCTCCGTTTTCTCGAAAACGATGCCTCCTCGCTCCCCTTTCACTGACAGACACGATGGAATATAAAAATGTGAAATTTAGAAATTCGCACAAGCGCAAAGGGAATATATATTTGAGAGTTGGACGAGAATTCTCGAAAACAATCGTAGAGGCAAGAAGAAGAAGAAGAAGAAGAAGAAGAAGAAGAAGAAGAAATGAAATTTACTTGCTTTATGGTGAACTAGGCCCGAAGGGAAAAAAGAAATCAAAGTTTTTAAAAATGTGCAATACATTGGATACGTTTGATTAAAAATCCGCTGGATTGATTTTTGGATTGGTTTAAGGTAAGTTTTCGAATAAGTTAAATCGATTGACGGAATATTCCACAACGGAATGTAGGAATGGGCCAGTGATAATCGTTCCAGTTTATGTATTCTTCTTTCGGTATCTATCTTGTTGCCGTCGGCCTTTCATTGAGTTATTGTGATTTAGAATTGAATTATCGCGTCTGATTTCGAGCGGCTTTTCATTGACTTATTGTATGATCTAGAATATAATCTGCCGCTGATAATTCGGTAACGGATGTGTTTACATAGTATCTCGTGATGCGATTATTTTATGTTTTTTCTTTTCTTTTCTTTTTCTTTTTTTTTTTTTTTTTTTTTGATGGGATGACAGCTTGTCGGACAGCAGAGAGATTAGCCGAGAAGGAATTTATGAATGGCGTAGAGTGAATGTGGAGGAATTGTGTAACGAGTTGAATGATGGAGTAAATATATGCGGTTTCTGTAATTAAGATATTAGTAAATGCTTGATGATTCTGGAGCCACCGATGAATGGATTAATTTCAAAATTGTTGTATTTGTCAGACGAAAAAATGTAATAAATTTGAAGAAAAAAAAAAAAAAAAATTTGATCTCTGATTCCAATTAAGAAACTGTTCGAATAATTAGAATTTACGATGATGAGATAATTGGATGCAACCGAGGTCAAACTTAATCAAATCTTTATGCGAGATTTCAAACAATATATATAATCCCAGAATTATCGAACTTTTTATTCCTCTCAACCTTCTCCATTCAACAAGGATCAAACTCGTATCCCAATATTCTTCAATTATCCCTTCAAATTATTAAACGACAATCAAACCAAACTTCCTTGTATCTTCCTTGTCAAAAATTTCATAAAAAAAACCTGCCCTGAAAACTTCGCCAAACACCAACTTCAAACCCACCGCGATTCAATAACATTCTCATCCCCCGCGAGTCCCCGTCAGTCCAAACTCCCCCAACCCACACACTCCCCCTCCCCTCCTATCCCAACATCCCATCATCCACTCTCCGTTACCCGATAAATCGTCCAAC